GGAAAGAGTTACATGGAAAAAGTGATCTCTGTTAAAACACTTCTTTATTTTATATTTTATGATTGACAATTTAAAAGAAGTTTCGAACTCAAGATAAGTTGCCTTTTATTTTTAGTGATCGTCTTTGTGTGTTCTGCCAATATAAAAAGTAGTTGTATGACAATTTATTTTTTGCATGTAAATGGACATCCTGTTTGTGAGAAAAGATTAAGTCCTGACTGCGAATTAGCAGTAACATGAAGATTTTGTATAGTAGTCTGAGGTTTAAAAAAAACAATCTTAAAGCACAAATGCAAAAAGTTTTTTTAGGCATCAGTATCTACTTTATATGGGAAAAAAAAAAAAACAAGCAAATTTTGAAGGAAAGTGTTTGGGGTTGATAGGATCTTCAAGAGATTTCAAACCTTATTCTATATAATATTCTACTTTCATGCTGCAGACCACTCCTAACTAAATGGTGACTAAGTTTATTTTGTTGTTGAGGTTGTATACTTTCTATTAATAGCTCTTATGTGTTTCAGTAACTATTGGTGGTGCCTTTATATTCCAACTACAAATTACATCAACGGTTGCGTTTTTATAAAAAAATATTTGATTGGTTATCTTCGACACATTCTGAATCTTAAATAGCTTAGTTAACCGATGTGATACTTTGATCCTTTCTCTTAGTTGCTATCTCCCTGTATTTTTTATGCATGAAAACATATTCCTTTTTGTTTCTGATTTTGTACATTCGTATATAACACTTACTAGTTTCCTAACCTGTTTTATTTTGATATATTATATTTTTACATTTGATTAAGAAAAAACATGAAAGCAATAGCAGCACAAGATTTGCCTAGTATAGCATGCTCCAGAAATCACCAGGCCTGATGATACTTTGAGTCCTACTTAGAAATTTCACGTGAGGATAGGGGGTTGTTTGATGAGCCCAATCTTTTACTAAATTATGAAGTTATAAATCCATCCCACTTCAAGATTTTATCAAGAGGGCTCAGCCATACCAGCGTCCAAAACTGTACTAATTAGAGCCCCCCAACCGAACACAAACACACATTCAAAAAAAAAAAAAATAAATAAAGGAAACGGGGGAAACAATGCGAGTCAAGCGTAGCTTAGCCTTCACGAGATAATCTAAGCCTTTTGCCCGAACAATATATACCTTAGCTACTAGGGCACGAAACTAACCAGTTTCGCTTGTTGTTCAACCATCCTATGGTCAAGGTCTGAAAAACACTACGAACAAAATGCTTAGTTTCAACCTACATGAAGAAATTATGTTTTGCCTTGCGAGTTTTGGTTGCACACGCTATCAGTTTCAGTTTCTCAGTAAACAAAAGTAGGCTCTGAAAAACACAGCCTGCTCATGACGAGCATAACTAAATACAACAAAAGTCTCATTCTTCTTCAGGTGGCCGTCCGAGTATCTTTTTCTGCATCGAGTACTACATTAGTTACTACAACAAATGCCACACCTGGGCTTCAGATAAGCAGAAGGTTGTAGCATAAAAAAAGAAGGCTCACACAAAGTAGCAATCAATCTCCACTTGCACAGCCTCCACAACCACAATGCACACACTCAACAAACCTCTCTTCCCTCAAATGCTTGGGAACCCTGCACACACAAGTTGTGCCAAAGTTGTGATCCCTGGGCAATCAATCTCCACTTGCACAGCCTCCACAACCACAATGCACACACTCAACAACCTTCTCTTCCCTCAAATGCTTGGGAACCCTGCATACACAAGTTGTGCCAAAGTTGTGATCCCTGGGCTGGATGCAGCGTAGACAGCACAGTCGTTCATATCCTGGCTGTAATTCAAACAAAGAAACTCAACATCAACAGATTTTCAAATATTCATGGATCAAATGCACTACACATTCAAAATTGCAAATCCAAAAGCAAAGTAATAGAATTCAAGATAAGCAATCTAACTCACATGTGCATCAAACTGAAAGACAAACCAAATATAGGATCCAAAACTTGCAATTTAGCTCATCTACAAATCATGCTAAATTAGCAACTAGCTCAAATAAATACCAAACTCATTCAAATATTATTTGAAACCATTGATTGAAGTGAACACTAAGATAGCATTTGGTTAGCATCCCTGGATAGGAAGGACATAAACATATTTGATTTATACAAGGACAGAGATGGTATCTCTAAGACAATTTTAGAGTGATTTTTTATCCTAAGGATAAGGGGACATGCACCTTTGTCCTAACTATCTCCATCTTTTCTATCCTGAAATTTAGAGTGAATTTTTATCCTAAGGATAAGGGGACATGCACCTCTGTCCTAACTATCTCCCCGTCTTTTTTATCCTAAATAATAACCAAACATTGCCTAATGCATTGGACACGTAAATTCATACACATTGAAGTGCATTTTATTGAAAAGGAAACATATTAGATGCACGACAAGCTACAAACCCAATCACTTTTCTTACAAAACTCAGGCCAAGTATTTGTCAAACAAAAACAAATATCACCAATAACGCAATTATAAAAAGTAAAAGCCATAAACAAAAACAGCGAAAAACTAAGCAAACCTTCTTCCATTTAGCGATTAGGTTACGATCCCCATAACCTTGGTCCAAGCAGAACTCATAAAGCTCCTTAGATATCTCACTCCTTCTATAATAAAGATCATAAACATATCGGCTCTTTTGATGTGTGATTTTGAAAATAGGCCACAGAGCCTCACACTTTCTCTTTCCATCATGCGGATCAAGTTCCGCTGCGAAAACATATATATATAAGATAAAAATAAAAATCCATCAATCAACCAACAAAAAATAGAAAATAAATTAATTGTATAATTGGATATCTAACCAACCTTCCCTCATCTTCCCGTCGAGTTCGCGAAGCGTAGGCTCGATTAACTCCCATCCCTCCGGGTATTTGACCCTGTTTGTCCTCACTTTCGGCATTTTGACACTGCTTAGTTAGAAACCTAAAAGCAGTTTATATAATTCAAAATAAAATTATTACATTTAATATTGTCAATTTATGATTATAAAAGCTGAATTAGGGTTAGCAATTGAGTTTAAGAAACGAAAAATAAGGAAATAAATACAGGTATCATGTTTTGAATAATTAGGGTTTAAAGAAGTGACCTCTGTTTGCTTGCTTAGCAGGATTATTTTGTGATTAAACCAGAAAAAAAAAACAAAAAAATGTTCGAGAGAGAGAGAGAGACGAAGAGAGCTTACCGCAGCTCTGGATTTTATTTGAGCTTGTACGAGAACACGTAAGAAGGTGACCTTGTACTTAAATTTCTTTTTATTTGTAAATAAATAAATAAACTAAAGGTTTTATTTTTCATAAAGAGAATTGGGCCAGATAATGGAACCACAGCCCACAAATAAAGGTTTTGGGTTGAAATGGTTACTATTCCAGATGAAAAATCAATATACGAGAGGCTCATGATAAGCGTGTCATATCCGAAATTGGGTTTGGCCGTGGGTGTTTTTTTTTTTAAGTATGTTGAAATAGATACTTGCTTGTACAGTTTTGATCCTTCTCGAGCAGTTTTGGTTCGCTTTTCAATTGTTCAAATATCAATGTAAAATAGGAAAAGAATAGGGAAAAAATTACATGAAGTATGGTTTACTTTGAAAATGAAAAATAAATAAAGTTCATGATCCATAAAAAATAATAAAATATCTATACTTAATTTATAACTAATAGAATATATTATCAAATTTATCAATTAAACAAAGAGTTGAATATTTATGAGATGGAAAGCATCTTACTAATATGCTGATGATTATTTTTTATTTGGTTTAGTTTTTATCAAAAATTTAAATTAAAATTAAAAAAATAAAATTAATTAATTTTAATTTAATTCGATTTTTTTAAAATAACACCCGGTTCAAATTAGTTTTGTTCTATTTGGCTTGATTTTTTTTATTTGGCTAGGTTTTTTTTTTATCTGGCTCAATTTTTTCTATTTTTTTTAATTTGGATTTAGTTTTGTTTTTTTTGTTTCGGATTTATAAAACTAAAATCAAACCAAATCGATCAGTTTTTTAAAAAATTTATTCAGTTCTTTTTACGATTAAGTTTTTTCAGCTATTTTTTTCTAATTTTTTTAATTTAATCAATTTTTTAATTTTTTTACTTACCCCTGGCTGAAATTTTTGGAGAGGTAACTATAAATGAGGTACCAGGAGGCAGTAGTACCTGTATAATGACCACAGATTGAAGGCTTGGCAAGTGCATCTTAAAGAAATTAAAGCCATAACTCAGAGAATCTGTGTTTGTGTATCAAATAAGCAAAGCTCATTTATCCTTGTCGCGAAAGCAGGCATGCTAGTTCCAATTAAAGCAACTAATTCATGAAAGATTGAAATTTCATAAATGTTTTCACAAACTGGGATTACCTCAGAAATGTTCGATCAGGAAGACAGCACGAGTCAAAATCCAAATCAGAAAATAGATGAGGCTAATGATATTGTAACCAAGTCCAGAAATCTCGCACTCATATTGGGCAATCATATTCTAGGACAGAGGAATTTTTCGGGATCTGCATCGTCCTGTAAAGGCTGCATCATTTTGATCTCAACAACCAGATTAATCGTTACCTTTGCATAAGCACAAACTACAGGTTTAACATCCAAAGCAACATCCACTTCAACTTTTCTGGTAATAGCACAAGAAAGAGGGACAAAAACAAATCCCTGATGACCATGGGAGTTTGACATTAATCTACTTCGTGATAGATAACATGCAATTGCTTTAAATCACTAATGAAATGATTGTGCAGATGCTGAAGGTTGGACCAACCAGCATTTAACCGCAAGTTAATTTTTTTCAACCAAAATGTTGTCCAACAATGATTCACAAGCATCTTCAAGTAGATCCAAAACCTGTGATAAAAAATAAATATCATGAGGTTATTGACAAATAAAATGCACATGAGTTTCTTTTCTGATATGGACAGTAATCAATTAAGAAGTTTTGATAACTTCTGTGTCTATACAAGCGTATTTCTATTGTGCAGAATGGTCAATGCTTCTATCATGAGAAAATCAAAGCAGGCAAATTAAGAGTTTAAAACTTAGATCAGGTACAAGCAGTTCGGCCTACTTTCTACATGAATGCAACACCATGGGTCACAAGGTGAGGGAAGTTAAAGTAGGGGGTTAAGAAAAGCAATCCTGTAACAGGTACCGGAAGCCATAAGTATGATCTATAACCCAACGTGCATTGAAGGATCAGCAAGCACATCAGCAGTCCGATGAAGAGGCAGCTTCTGATTTGAAATAATATAGGTAATAATAAAGAAAAAAAATGTAACCCAAGAAAGCCTGTATACCTTAGGTCTCTCTTTAAGCGGCAGCATCTATATTGAAGTAAATCTCACTTCATGTCTTTAAAATAAACTAATTCAATCACATGACATATTGTTCTAAATGCAGCTTAATGAAGAAAAACTAAAACAACTTAAGTCCTGGTATTGAATACTCTATCAAGATTTCACAAATTTTCAATACGAGCTCTGACCATTTAACTCAAAATGCTCATGCATTACCTTCTCAAAACCCTGCGGTCCACCATAGTAAGGATCCGGGACTTCAGTTTCTTCATGTTTCTTACAAAAAGAACACATTAACTTAACCTGCGAAGACAAGAGAAACATATGAGACTTGACAAAACTACCTCTATGCTAAAATTCATACCAAAGCCCTATAAGTCTTTCACTAACCTTCTTGTGTGCATCGTCAGGAAGTGTCTCTCTAAATTTCCATCTATTAAAAGCTTCCATTATATCCTCTGCAAAAAGACCAATTCAAACATAACAACATATCATCAAAAGAATTAAAGAAGCTAATAAATGGGGGGGGGGGGGGGATTTTTCGTACCTCTGTTTTGATTGTCCATAGCAAGAATGATATCAAAATCTCTAAAATCAGATGGCCGAATCGGCCTTGATATGGAAGTTATCTCAACCCCACGCCTTCTAGAAGCTGCCCTCATTCTTGGGTCAGCTGGATTACCCTTTATTAACCACGAAAACAAGTATGTTGCTATTTTTCATCCTTTCTCTACAATCAAAGCAACAGAATTTCAGAAACATATGTGTACCTCATGGTAATCAATGGTGCCAGCAGAGTCAATCTTGAACTCAGAATCAAGTCCTCTCTTTTTAACAATATCAGTAAACACACCCTCAGCAGCTGGACTCCTACAAATGTTGCCTAAACACACAAAGAGAACAGAGAAAGGTTTGATCTTTGTTGAAGAAGCCATTGATGATGATGATGATGATGCTTTGATCACTAAGGACCTGAAATTGATAGCACCGCTTGTGGGGTTTTTCTGATGATGATGATGGCAATATTGGAGAAATGGCTGTTTATTGATGAGAGGAAGTGGGTTTTTTAGAGAGAGGATTTGGGTGGCATTGTGGCAGAATTGTAAATTTAGAGATGGGTTTGGAAACGTGGTATTAGTAGCACTGCTGTACAGGGTAGTTGTTGATGTCCTCACCATCCCTCCTCCCGTGAGTGTGGAGGTGTTGCGAGTGAGACGATGATGTTCAAGAACCAGAGCGATTCGTGGCGTTGGATTTTGGATGGCCGAAAACTATTTTCTAAAGGTAGATTTAAAATAAAATGGGCTGGTGATGGATATGTGGGTGGGGTTTTTTTAAAAAAAACAATCTTTATTTGAATATATTTTCATGTTATTTTGCATATCAATTAAAATTAAATATTTCATCTAAACGATCTTTAAAATACAATAATAAATCTTAAAAATACACTATCTTTGTCGACGTGATGCATATATATATATATATATATATATAAAAGCCTCAAATTCTATCCACCGATATTTACTAATAAAAATATCTCTTAAAAATTATTTGTTTCTCTTTTTTGTGTTTATTTTGAATATTAATAATTACAATTTAACATCGTAAAATCTCTTTTAAAAACATGATGAGACCAACATTGGATCCTTCTACATCAATCTATATACAAATGCTGGTTTATCAAGAATATGTAAGATAAGATACCATGGTAAGTTGACTGTCATGTCAATAGAATAAGATTGAAGGAATTGCAGAAAGCTAAAATAATGAAGGAATTGCAGAAAGCTAAAATAATGAAGGAATTGCGGACAGCTAAATACAGCAGAAATATGGTTAAACCATGGAGAAAAGATACGCGAACTGCACAGGGAGACTGATATGCTCAGATAAATAAGAGAGCAATGCTTCTTCACCTCCACATTCTCAATTACTTTCCCTCATTTCACATTTCAACTCTAAACTAGAGTTAAAGGTATACATATATCTCATACTTAATAAGTTGCCGCCAATTTTCAGAATTACATTTACACTATATGCCATAAATATATGTTATATATAGTTACAATAATGATGCGAAACCTCATTTTTAAAAAAGAAAAGAAAAGAAAATCAAACATCTTTCCTTTCTCACATCAGATAATTCCAGGCTAAAACATCTCAAACACTCTTTGCTCTTCTGTATCCTTGACATCCTTAAACTTAGTGCAGTCCTTGTTCTGAGAGAATGTGATTGATGTAATTCCAGCATCGCAGTGTTTAGGCAGCTCTGGCGGAATTGTACACCGTATCAGAGCCCAATTAAGGCCGTCGAAGAAAGGGTGCTGTTTGATCTCTGCAGCCCCTTTGGCAGATCCTAGCCGATTCTCAGGTTCCTTTATCAACAATCCTCTAATCAAATCACGTGCATGAAAACTAACTATAGGGCTGCTGGGGAACTTGAGGCTTCGTGACACAACGTTGGACAAAGTTTCCTCATTTCCTGAGCCCTTGAACGGCGTTCTACCATATAACAGCTCAAACAAGAAGATTCCAAAAGTCCACCAATCAACAGCACTGCCATGACCCTCACCTTTGATGATCTCTGGAGCCAGGTATTCGTGAGTCCCAACAAAGGAGTTAGAACGAGCACTTGTTGGCTCCACTACCACCTGTGGCAGCGGACTGACTTGAGCAGCTAGGTCAGATTTTAACTTCTGAGATTTCGCAGCAGCAACTGATAGAAGTCTTGGAGTGAAACATGATACATGCCAGGCTGGATGGAGGCAGAAAGGATCAATGCAGCTAGCTTCAGAGCATGGACTCGACATCTTTTTTGCAGGCTCTTCAGCAGGTGTAGATGATTGAAGCAGAACTGGATTAACAGCACACCTGAGTGATAGGTCAAAATCTGAAAGCATGATGTGCCCATCCTCTCGGACCAGAATATTTTCTGGTTTTAAATCTCGATAAACAACTCCAAGCATGTGCAAATACTCCAGTGCAAGGAGGACTTCAGCAACATAAAACCTACAAACATGATTTTGTCAGGATGGATTGAAGAGACAAGAGGTAAAATTAAGTTAACATTAGTCAAGTATGAGCAGACCTCTGACCTCTTCTAGTATATTCACCTCTCTATCAAGGTTATTTACAAGTGTGTGCTCCTCAAATCAGGACTGGTTTTGGGCAGTTAAATGCCGATCCTTCTTTAGTTTATATTTTCATAAATATCACTACGATGGAGCACAATTCATATAGGAAGGACATAAGCACCCTTTTTTTTGTGTGCGTGAGTATGGGTAGACATGGAACAAATTTCTGGCTACCAATCCATTCCATCTTTTGATTGATCAGTTAACAGCATCTGAACTTCTGAAAAAACACATGGTAAACTTAGTATGTTCCAGCTATGAGAGAGATGAAGGGTGACGTTCCCTAGATAAGAGCCCCCATCAAGTGCTCCACTTCTTTGGAGCACAAGAAGCTGGCTGTCCAAATTGTGATGTGACGTGGCAATTAAATCACCAGCACACCTTCACATGTATCCATTCACTATACCTTCTATAGCTAGCTTCCCCGTAAATTCATTTCTAAGAATTTGGTTTTTAAAACCTGCTGCATATCACCATGTACCGGTAAGACTGTTGCTCCATTAATTTGCTTCCCATTTACCATCAAGGCACACCAAATTCATAAGAAAGGCAGCTACTAGAGCCCAATTGATTATGAGTCCCCAGCCTTGACTATAATTTCAGGTTTCCCATAAACTAACCTATCTTAAAGCAATTGTGTCCATCATTTTCAACCTACAACCCCCCCCTCCCTCTTTTTATAGGGATGAAATGCTACGCACAAACAATTTAACAGCCATCATATTGATGATCGATGAATGTGGAACAAGTGTTCGCGTGTGTGTGTGTGCATGCGTCTGTGAGAGAGAGTTTGTGCCCACCAACGCCCCACGTGTGTGAAGGGGAGAGAGTGAGAGACAGAGAGAGAGAAGGGTGTCCAAGTTGCATAATATGCAGCGAAAAAGATTGTTAAGTCGAATAAAATACGCTGCAAATCCTAAGCCGGGAAAATTTGCGAGAACCTAAATAGAAATTAGTACCTTGCGGCTTTTTTTTCAAAAATCCTGCCAGGTTGTTTCTGCCGCAGCACATGCAGATCTCCACCAGGGCAGTACTCCATAACCAAGCAGGAGAGTTTATCTGACACAAAATGGGCATATAATGTAGGGAGAAAAGGATGGTCCAGCATCTGCAAAATCTTTCTTTCAGTTAGGGCCCTAGACATCTTCTTCCTGCTTGCCAAATAGTCGTTGTCCATCACCTTCAAAGCAAATAGGCAATTTGTTCCACTTAGCTCAGCAAGATAAACAGACCCAATATCCCCACAACCAAGCTTCTTGATCAGCTTAAAATGTTTCAAACAAAAGCTCCCGTGCTGCTTCTGAATATGGCGAATGGCTTCCCCCCTCACGTCCTTTGACATGTGAGGCCGACTGCCACTACGACTAGACCCGCTTAGATTGCTATCATCACTAATACTCGTGCTACTACTATAGTCACCGATACTACTTTTTGAACTTTGAGAGAATTCCCCCTTTTCTCTTGATCTTGATCTTTCATCAACCTTTGTCGATATAGATCTCGTTCTGTTAACACCATTCAAACTAGAACCCAGCCTGCCTGAACTTGTGTCAGCAATGACTGAATTGTATTCGGTGCTGTGATTTGTACTGCTAGAAGCTGGAGAAGCTTTCGCACCTCCTCTCCTCCCACTCTCCAGCATACAGTCATGCGTCACGTCCGAATTGCTTGTACTAGGATTCAGATCATTATTGACTTTTTTATTACTTGGATTAGAACTGCTGGAGGCAGAAGCTGAATCCTGCTTAGCTTTCTTCTTAATGAAGTTTTTGCTCCTGAAGATTGGCTTGATGAAGCACGGAGCATTACATACAGAATTATTCACTGTACGACCAGGGCTTGAACCAGACACAGAAAGTAAGGAGGAAGCATGCAAATGGTTTTTCTCCTCTTCTGGCACTGGAGTTTTTACAGAAACTTTGATTGAGGCCAAAGCAATCTCATCTGCCTCTTTTGGCTTCTCACCAACATGACTGTTAAATGAATAATCTGTAGATTTAAGCTCTCCAACTTCTTCCTTTGATATTTCACGATCAAACCCTGTAGGCAGAGGAACAACCTGATCCCGCGAAGAATGGAGAGTTTGATGTGATAACTCCGCCTTGACCATTTCTGAGGATTCAAACATCTTCTCAGAAGAATTTGATGTGATTTTTTCTGGTACAAGAGAGATTTCTACCAAATTTCCATTGCCTTCATTTATGGGGAGCCCAGATCCATCAGCCTCAACTACGACTGCCCTGTACAACCTTTTGATAGTTCCCACTTCTGAGGACCTTGATGAACTTGTTGGTCTTGATAATCGCTTCATTGCTGCCATCTCCGACGCCTGAGAGATGCATAATCCCCTCAAAGCTTGCTTCAAACTAACAGGCTCTGAAATTCCAATTCCTGACATTTGAGGTGAACCAACCCTCATTGGTCTCTTCATAGCTTTCTTCCTTAAAGCATCTTTAACAACTTCATCATTGTGCTTAGTGGAGGTTCTAATCTCAATTGATTCAAAAAGACGATTAATGTCATCTTCAATAGAATACCTATTTCCCAATTTTAAAACAGAATGCTTCCTCGCTTTCTCATCCATTTTCAATTCAAAATCCAACTCTTCATTTGATTCAACAATTTCAGAAATACTGGGCACTGCATCCATCTCCATGGTGTTCACTCAAATACTACAGACAACAAACCTTCCAAAAACTATATTAACCCAATTCTAAAGAAACATTTTGAAGGCAAAACTGCACAGATATCAGAAAGAACACCATATATCCTTGGAAATTCTCTTCAAACATAACGATCCCCTAATCCAAACAGCCCGTTAAATCCCATTCACTAGCCTCAAAAAGGAGCATTCAAACCCTGCCACAATCACCAATTTTCATTGAGAGAATTATTCATTCCATAAACCCCCCCTCCAAAAAAAAACTAACCCGAACTAAAAAAATACTCTACCATAAATTCAATATCCAGAGTTCTTCATCAGATCAATCAAAACCCCATTTGCAGACATGATTCAAATTTTACCAAACTTGTTTTGGCACTATTTGTCAAAAAAAAAAAGTTAAAGAGCTTATTTGACCATAAAAAGAAGGGTTTCTTTTAATTTAAGCAAAAGTGTAAAGATGTGCCTACACTTGGCCCTCTTAGCTTTTCTTTACCAACAATTCATGGGACTGACATTGATCAAGCAACCAAAATTGAGACACTCGGATAGCTACAAAACGAAAAGGTTTCCCCGTTCCAATAATCCTTTTCATTTCTTATTTGAACATTTCATTTAATAATTAATAATCATATAATAAATACAATTAGTTGTCAAATCCACTGTTCTAGATCTTGTTGGTCATGTTAAATCATCAAACAGAAAGATGTTTTTGTGTCAACTCGTGCTTGTATTTTCAAGTATCAAAACATGCTTAGATTTTTAAATTAAAAATAAATAATAAAAAAATGGGCGAGAAAATAAAGTGGTTTTTCACTTCAAAATTGAATATCCCAATTCAAAACCACCGCCATGTGTCTAGTTACAAAAACATAAATCAACCCAAACAGTTCAAAATGTGTAATTACAGATTAGAAACTAGTATTATTATTACTCCCAAGTCCCAACAAAATTCTAAAAAAAAAAATATTATCATTTGCTTCATGAATTAAGAAGAAGAAGAAGAAGAAATATCAAATAACCAGGAGTTGAAAGGAAAAAAAAAATCAATGCAAAAAAAATGGTCCAAAAATAGATACAGAAACAAAAACAGTACGAGAAAACGCTCTCTGTTCTGTTCAAACACACACCAAAAAAAGGAACAAAGAAACGAAAACTCCTTACCTGAAAAGGATCGGAAACGAAGAGCATCGGCTGGATAACAGGAAGAAGGCGAGAAGGAAAAGAAATATCAGAGATGATGGTAAGGGTTGGAGTTGGGGCACGAGAGAGAGCGGTGGGAGAGTGAATGAGGAAAGAGAAAAGTTGGAATGCAAATGATCACGAGAAGTATCAGTAGCTTCCTGTTTCTTTTCTTCTGTTCGAGTTGTGATTGGATGACAACGTTGTTAATGACAACATTTGTCAGCGGTCATTCAAGCTCGATAGAAGCGCGTGCTTGCCATTCAAATATTTACTCGTTAACATGTTGCATATCAGTCCTTGTTCTTCGAGAATCTTACTAGGTTTTCCCTATGCTTTTTTCTTTTTTTTTGTTCTAATAAATTCGTCATGTATCGATTTCTAAGTTAGAGAAAACCCGGTATAAGGTGAATAGTAAAGATTTCTTCTGTTTTAGCAAGATAAAATAAATTTCTTGTATTTTTTTAATAATTAATCAAATTTATGGAAGATGTTACTTTGAAATGTCATCAACTAAATTGATTACACGTTCATTGCAAAAATTATTAATTATAGTGACTAAGTTCCAATTTGATTTTAAGGATGATTATAGCAATAATAATAATAATAATAATACATTAATGAAAAACTATAATAAAACAAAATGATGTACTTACCATCATGATACCAAAAAAAAATTACAAAATCTCCTTTTTTACAAATTACATGCATCACAAATATGTAAAAATCATAATTATTAATTGTATTTTTATTAATAAAAACATCAAATTAATTGGTTGTCATAGCACATCTAATATTGGAGTTATAGTTGTTTTTTTAAGGTTTTTTTCATTTAAAAATATATTAAAATATTATTTTTATTTTTAAAATTTATTTTTAATATTATCACATCAAAAAAATATAAAAATATTAAAAAATATATTTTTATTTTTTATAAAAAAATTTAACCTTCACAAAAATCAACAAGACATTAATTTATTCAATATTCATCTTATCAGTAAATAAATTTTAAATTTTAAATTTCTTATCATAAAATAAACAATACCATAATAAAAAAAATTATCTAAACGTCCTATAAGAACAAATTGCGTGTTCATGGTCAATAATTTGTATAATGTTCTACATGTAATTATCAATAATTAGAGTATAAAAAATTACAAGAAAAAAGAAACAGATGAAAAAACATGAACCAAGTAAAAAACGATATGAATATCTCTTACCAGAATTTTGAGCATCACGGAATTTTTCAGCCTTGAATCCCACTCTCGTTTATCTTCCATTAAACGTGTAAACTGCACTCCGACTTTATCAGCCTGCCACGTCATGTTGTCAGATGCTATTCATTTTAAAGGGGATGTCAAACAATCAGCTTCCTGTTTCTTTCTCTGAAATGGCGGAAAAAATGAGAAGAACAGTATGAATTTATATATAAAAAACAAATTAAAAAAAAAAAAAGAGCGGTACCCAATGCTGTGCGTGGTGGGTGGAGATTGTCTACGTTAAGGTGTATTTTAGTCTCTTCGTTTGGTTAACTAATTAATTAATGTCATTATGAAATGAAGAGGACTAGACGCAAGGAACCTTTTTCTCAACTTTTTTAGTAACTGTTTGGCATTCAGGCTAAATTTGTTTTTTAATAAAATTTAATCTTTTAATATTTTTAGTTTGTTTTCATATATTAATATCAAAATTAAATTTTTAAAAAATAAAAAATATATTATTTTAATACTTTTTTAAACAAAATTTCTTTTAAAAAATACATTTAATAATTTATTTATTTATTATCAAATATAACCCCATCAAGAACAAAAACTGTATTTTAAGGCAAGTAAGGTTAGTGCTCTTTTATTAGTTTTTAAGCAAATCATTTATATCTATATCAATGTATTTATAATAAATTCTTTTCTCTTGATCTTTCCTAAAATATGAAATCTGGATGATAATATAAAGAGTAAACTAGTGATAAGATTTTTTATCTTCTAATTTCTAAAAACATACACTAGAAATTTATATATTTTGTATTTTTTTCCATGAAAAAATAAAATCTAGAAGCAATTTTGACTACCCATCAACAGTTTTTACACGAGTTTGCCCAAACACAAAGGATATCAAGCTCCATTTATATAAATCTTCTCTGAATTTTTAGTGAAAGGGAGAGCGTGGTGAAAGAGTATAAAATAGTTTTAGCACATGTGATTTTAAAAATAAGATTTTTTTTTATTTTCTAATTTCCGAAAACATACACAAAAACATTATTTGTTTATTTTTTCTTAGGAAAAAAGATCAACAGTAACCACTATAGCTTTTAAAAACAATTATGATTAATTATCGGTAATTTTAACATGAGATTGCCCCCCTTTTACATTAAAGAAAAAAACAAAAATTAGAAAATATAATGGATACGGAGCTTCATTTTTATAAAATTTCTCTAGATTTTTAGTGAGAGGGAGAGTGTGGCAAGAGAGTATAGAATAGTTCTGGCATTTGGGATATTTTTATAAAAAAAATAAAAAAAAATAGGAGATTAATCGGAATGATTACAGTAAACATCTTAATCATCCTAAAATAAATTTTAATCAAGTCGGTGATGACAGCACAAGTGGGAGCAAAAGCTCCACCAACATCGAAACTTAAGAGGACCCAATGCCAGAGGATAGCAAGCAAAATATCATGTTAATGTTGATCAAACCAACTAAATTAAAGTTCTTTTTGTCGAATGATTACGTTTTTTGAAACTTCTACTAATTCATGCTGTAAATGTCAAAGCACTGTCCATGCCACTGTGGATTTTGAAGTGTGAGAAAATTTTAGAAGAAAATCCCAACATCTCCACCATTCTCAATGACCTCCGAGCCTCAAATCCTTCCAGACCTTAAATAATTTCCTTTACAGAGGTAGGTGTACCTGAAGGCCCTACTAGGAATGTCTCTGAACTAACTTTATTAAGACTCATTATCGTCAAACAAACTTGTAACCAATTCTGCAACTCCTTCCATGAATGAAGGAAAGGGATTAGGTTGTAGTGAAGAGACCTTCTGTCTAGGCATATGAACTAGCTAGGTTGCATTTTACATGACTTGCGAGAATGAACTTTGATTTTGAATTATGTTAAAATAACTTTGAATTAAGATATATATTTTACAAGCAGCTAGCCCATAATAGAATTAAGTTAAAATAACTTTGAATTATGCATGTATTTGTTAAAATTAAACTTGAGCAGTCTTGTATGTAATACAAGTTAAAATTCAAGATTTTCAACTTCTAATTAAATTAGTTTTTTTTTTAATTTATAACAAATCTTGATTTAAGTCAAAAGTTATTTATAGCGAAAGATAATTATGATTTTTTTAGATGGGAATCAAAACAACTTCAATCAACTAATAAGAAATCATACCTAACATATTTCTAACTTATAATTAAAATAGCTCAAGAACTTCTAACCAATTTTTTTTAACTGGTGATTAGGCTCGATAAATAAAGGATATGACTTTTCAACACATATATATAGTACAAACACATGACATGCGAAATTATTGATAAATGAAAACAATGATCATAAAATTAGCAATCTCAAATTCAAGCATATGATATTCATTGACTTTTAGATTTTTTTATTTTATTTTTTTAATGTAATCCGATTTCGTTAGTCAATGATATAAAATAAAAAAAACTGTTTGAAAATGTAATGTAAATCATATTATAAAAAAAAATATTTTTTTACTAAAAATAAAAAAAAAATATTTTTTTAATTGTTTTGATGTATTAATTTTAAAAATAATTTTTTAAAATTAAAAAAATATTATTTTAATATATTTACTTTAAAAAAGAACTAAATTAATATTCTAAACATACTCCAAGCATCGAAGAAACACACAGAATGCATAGAATCTGACCACCCAGCCCAAGTTCCGACCTTCATAAAGGACCTCATTGATTATACCCCAACCATCAAACATGTTGTTGGCGTCTTAACCAACAATGTCCTATGCTCTACCATGCTTTTGTTGTAAACTAAAGGCAAGGTTCCTTTCTCGCCAAATTAACTTGGAAAAAAATAGATCGTTAACATTCGGTTGAAACCTTTGTGCTCCAATCGAATCTTTGCAACATTTATCTGAACTTTTTTTATTTATTTGTCCTTAAGAAACCTGAATTGGCTCGGCTCGGTGAGCCGCGTGTCTAGCTTGTATTTTATAAAAAAATATGAGAACTTAATATGGTGCAACTTTGTTAAAAACTTAATTTGATTAATAATTCTATCAAAATTCATTAGTTTTTTTAAAAAAAATAAAATTTTAAAATGTATAGTTTTAATTTTTTTTAAAAATAATAAACCTGCATCGAATCGTAATCCGGGTTTTGCACATATTGAGATTAATATCACTGTTTTTATAAATCAACGTTTTCAAAATTATTTGTGATGAGGGAACCATGCCTTTGATATTTGCAACATTGAAGACATGGTAGAATTTGTGGTGACTTCTTTGTTGTTTTATCTGTTCATTTTGTTATATCAGTTCTTATTTTCTAGTTCGATCCTCGATATATCTTGAAATTCCAATATTATTAGTTTTTAGTACATTCTGGACGATAAATTAAAAGGAACTTGATTGCGAAATGTATACAGTGATTGTTTTTGAAGGATATACATGAAACTCTTCAAACATGTGATAGACGTACAGTCTCGGCCTACCTGCAAGCAAGCATACAATTCGATCCCTTCGGAGAGCACACACAATGATCCCATGCATGCGAGAGTAGAAGATTAGTAAATTAGCAGCGTGGTATGTACTTAAGGGTGCACAAGGCCTTCCCAGAAAGAATTAAAGGATGCTCCACCTAGTTAATGTCACTCCTTGAAGTAAATGAGATTCTAAATAAATGTCATTTAGCCAGGTTTCCAGACTCTTGCATGCCTTCAAATGTAGCCTTCTCAAGAACGAGACATATATACCCGTGAATGTAATTTCCCCGTTTTGTAAGGGGAAATCGGCCTTTCTTTGAGAGAGAAAATTAATTGGCTTGTGCATGTAATCTTATATTTGATTTTGAGTATCTGAGATTCTCGTGCTTGTAGTAAACTAATATATATTTTCTCGTGTGAAATCTTCTTTAAAAAACAAACACAATCTCTCTATCTCTCTTTGAATATACATGTTCTGTGTATCCTAATTGTTTT